CTTATTTAATGAAATACTAGCTGAAAAATTTTCAAGTCTTCAAGTTTATATATGGACATCCATATCCAAGAAATTCAAGGAACTCTAACTGAGCTCAACCAAAAATTACCATCTGCAAAGAATTGGTAGGCAATAGGTCCAAAATATAAGACAAAAGGAAAATTCTAAAAACAGGACATGTCAAGTCACATATAGGAGAATCCACGTTAACCTCAAATTTCTCAACAGAAACCTTATAGACTAGAAGACAATAGAATGATTTCTTCAAAGTCCTAAAAGAAAAACCAGCTAAAGAGAAATGCTATATCCAAAACTATTCTTTGCAAATGAAGGAAAAATTAGTTGTTTTACTGAAAAGCAGAAACTAGGAAAATTCATCACCACCAGACTAGCCCTATGAGAAATGCTTAGAGGTAGTCTTATGCTAGAAACAAAAAGGTGAGGACTATGATCAGGATAATGCATGAATGTACAAATCTCACTTGCAGAACAGAGAACCAGAGAGAGACAAGAGAGAAAGAATCAAACCTCATAATAACAGAAAACTACAAAATCACAAAGATAAATAATGAGAGAGGAGGAATGGAGAAGAGAATATACAGCATCTTAAGAACACAAAACAATGACAGAATGAAGTTTATACCTATTAATAATATCAATAAATGTAAACACACTAGTCACCAATCTAAAGACACAGATTAGTTGAATGGATAAAAAAAGTAAGACTCTACCATGTGCTGCCTATGAGAAACCCATTTCATTGGTAAATAAATGTATAGTCTGAAAGTAAAAGGTTAGAAGATATGCTATACAAATAGAAACCAAAACTTAGTAGTAGTAGCTAAACTTATATCATATAAACAGACATTAATAAACTATAAAATGAGGCAAGGTGATCATATATTGATAAAAGGATCAGTTTAGCAGAATATATAACAAATGTAAATATATATGTACCCATCAAATATATAAAGCAAATATTATCAGATCTAAAGTAGAGATAGATCCCAATGAAATAATAGTTGTAGTCTTAAACACCCTATTTCATCAAAGAACAAATAATCTAGACAGAATATCAACAAAGATACACTGGAGTTGAATGATCTATAGAGCAAATTGACTTAGCAGATATTTACAGAATATTTAATACAACAGCAATAGAGAAGACATTCTTCTCATCAGCCCATGGAGCATTCTTCAAGATAGATGATGTGTTAAATTACAAGTCAAATCTCAAAATATTTTAAACAATCAAGAGAGAAATTAGGGAAACAATTCCTTTCACAATAGCATCCAAAAAGATGAAATATCTAGGAATCAATCTAACAGAGGAAGCAAAAGACCTCTACATTGAAAACTACAACACTCTGAAAAAAGATCAAAGAGGATAAGAAAATGGAAAGAAATCCCTTGTTCCTTGGTAGGAAGAACCAATATAGTGAAAATAGCCATACTTCTAAAACTGCTATAGAGATTCAATGCAATCCCGATTGAAATCCCAACAGTATATTTCACAGAACTAGAGAAAATAATCCAAAAATTCATTTGGAACCAGAAGAGACCTAGAATAGCAAAAGCATTTCTAGGCAACAGAGACATGAGAGGGGGTACCAAAATCCCCAACTTGAAACTATACTACAAAGCCACTTTGATAAAAACAGCATGGTACTGGCAAAGAAACAGACCTGAGGATGATTAGAAGATACAGAAAAAACTACAGACATACTCAGCCACCTCATCTTTGACAAAGCCAACCATCATCACTGGAGGAAAGATAGCCTCTTTAATAAATGATGTTGGAAAAAGTGGATTTCAACCTGTTAAAGATTAAAACTAGACCCATATCTATCACCATGCACTAAACTAAAACTGAAGTGGATTAAAGATCTAAATATTAAAACAGAAACTCTAAACTTGCTGGGAGATAAGTTAGGTAGAACTCTTGAAGACATTGGCACAGGGAAAGACTTTATGAACAAAACCTCAGTAGCACAGGAACTTGCACAAAGAATCAACAACTAGGATCTCATCTTATTAAAAAGCTTTTGCACTTCAAGAGAAACCACGAACAAAGCTAAGAGACAACCTACAATGTGGGAAAGTTTTTAGCAGCTGTATCTCAGACAAAGCACTACTATCTAGAATATATAGAGAACTGAAAAAAATCAGACCCCCTAAATTTTAAACCCAATTCAAAAATGGGCATCTGAAATGAACAGACATTTCTCAGACAAAGAAGTAAAAGCAGCAAATAAATATATGAAAAAATGTTCAACATCACTGGTCATTCGATAGATGCAGATGAAAACAACACTGATATTCCACCTCACCTCAGAAAGAATGGCTGCTATCAAGAAATCAACCAATAACAAATGCTGGTGGGGCTGTGGGGAAAGAGAATCCTGCTCCATTGTTGGTGGGAGTGCAGACTGGTGCAACCACTGTGGAAATCAGTATGGAGATACCTCAAAAAACTAAAATTAGAGGTCTCATTTGACCCAGCTATTCCTCTGCTGGGTATCTTCCAAAAAAAATTAAAAGAATCATACCACAGTGATATATGTGCACCCATGTTTATAGCGGCACAGTTTGTAATAGCTAAAGCCTTGAATCAGCTCAAGTGCCCATCCACTGGAGACTGGATAAAGAAGATGTGTGTGTGTGTGTTTTTTTAATAAAATGGAGTACTACTCAGCCTTAAAGAATGAGAAACTAGAGACATTTTTAGCTAAGTAGCTAAGTGGATAAACATTGAAGCTATACTCTTAAGTGAAATAAATAGGACATACGTGGGTAAATACCTAATAGTTTCTCTGGTGTGAGAAACTGAAAGTGTAAATAAGGATTAAAATGAATAATTGATAATGTGAAATAGGAAGAAAAGGTCCAAAAGGGAAGGGGAAGGGGAAGGGGAAGGAGTAGGGGAAATGAAAGAAGGGAAAGGAAAAAATGGAAACAAAGTCTTTGTAAATAGGGAGGGGTAGAGGGGTTAAAGTGAGGGCAGGGGAATAGGAAAAAAGTAAGAACCAAGCTACATCATGTACAGATACAAGTACCCAATGATAAATGAAAATGTATTGTATACCTAAAATGTACCAATAAAAGAATTTAAGAAGAAAAATCAAAATCATATCATGTATCTTTTCAGATAACAATGGAATAAAACTAAAAATCAATGACAAGAAGAACAATGGAAACTATAAAATACATAGAAATTGAACAACATGCTCTTTTAAACAGCCATTGGATAGTTGATAAAAAAGAAATTAAAAATTCCTTCAAAAGAAATGAAAATGAAAATATATCAAATTGTGATATACAGCAAAACAGCACTAAGAAGGAAGATTAAGGCACACAGGAAAACAGGAAAAAAAAAGATTTCAAAGAAACAACGTAGAAATATACTTCAAGGACTTATAAAAACAAGAATATCCCAAACCTCAAATTAGAAGAAGGAAAACAATAATAAAGGTTAGAACAGAAATGAATACAATAAAAAATACAAAAGTTGATGAAAAAGTTAGTTTGGCAAAAGATAAAATTGACAAACTTCTGGCTAGATAAACCAAGAAAAAAAAGAAAGGAGACACAAATCAATACAATCAGAGATATAAAAGAGACATTGCAAATTATACCACAAAAATAAAATGAAAATGAGAAATCACTATGAACAATTACATGCTTACAAATCAGCAAACACCAATGCAGCCAATTCTGGAATGGGTGAAAAGCATTAGAGCTTTACTCATTTCAGATAAGAACATACAATGTCTTCTTTGGATGACAGCTTGCCATTTTCTTACAAAGCTAAACATAGTCATATGATATAATTCAGCACCAGTCTCCTAGGTATTTACCCATAGGAGTTGAATACTAATGTATTCACAAAATACTGTACAAGAATAATCACAGAAGCTTTATCATTACCCAAAATTAGAAAGAACAAAGATACATCATTTAATCAGTCAGTAAAGTGTGGCATATCCATCTATCAGAATATTATTCAGCAGTAAGAAAAATGAGCTAGTAAGCCACAAAAAATTATAGAAAATCTTTTGATGTACATGTTTAAATGAAAGAATCTAGTTTTTAAAAGGCTACATGATTCCAACTACATAACCTTCTAGAAAAGACAAAACTATGGAGATGGTGAACACATCAGTGCTTTCCAGGAATTTGGGGAAAGGAAAGATGAATCAGGGGATCATAGGGAACTTTTATATCAGTGAAACTATTCTGTGTGACAGCACACTTGTGAATACATGACATTATATATTTATCAAAACCCACTGACTCTTTAACACAAAAAATATCACTTAATGTTAACTATGAGCTTTAATGAATGATCATATATTGATACTGGTTTATCAATTGCAACAAATGTACCACACTAATGCAAAAAGATAATAATGGGGAAACCATACAGAGGAAGAACAGGTACATGGAAATTCTTTACTTTTTGCACTTAAATTTTCCACAAGTCAAAATCTGCTCTAAAATTTAAAACCTGTAATCAAAAAGTCATCCATAGCAAATAAAAAGTAACTTGCAGAAAGTTATATATCATACACATATATTAAAATGCATATATGCATATACATGTATTTGCACACATTCAGATAAAATAAATCTTTTTTCATCATAGGTTTCATAAGTTATATTCTCTGTTATTTTCTTTTTCATAATGTAATGCATTTATATAGACTAACATGGTAAGTGGGAGATAAGAAAGAAAACACAGGCAGTGCAGCTGAATTATGCTTATATAAATTTTAGTTGTACGGGAAAGAGAACTGAGAGGAAAAAATTTAAAAGATATAATGAAGCCAACTATAAAAATGTGCAATGTACTCAGCAGTTCACTCTATTTTATCCTATAGTTATTTAACTTTCTTTTCAAGAAATATAGATGGATACTTTATTATAAAACTACATATCAAAAGTATATTTCAAATTTTCCCAAACAGTGAAAATGTAAAGAAAACAAAACAACCACATACCAATTCATTGATGCTGATCATTATAACATTCTCATATCCTTTACCTTCTTTATCTTTAAGATGACAATTAGATGAAGTTACTGGTAACAGAACAAGGATCAAGGGAGGAATTCCAAAGATATACCTAAAAGAAACTAAATTCAACAATAAATGAGAATGAGCTAAATGTGATGTCATGTTACACTTGATTGTGCTTTATCAATGGGATGGAGCACTTCTAGAGATTTTTTAAATGCATTTCAGTTCTTTGGTAGTGTAGGAGAACCATAAATACTCAAATTATAGACAACCAAAGTGGGGTAACATTTTGGAGTTCAGATTTCATTTACTTTTTTTACATAGAAATTACTCTTAGGGAAAGTGTAGGATGTGATGAAATTAAAAAATGCTTCTGAAAGATACTGGTGTATATCATTACCTTAGCCAATATGGATTTTTGCAGAACATCCCTATAAGAAAAGGTAAAGGGGTACATTGAAGTTTAATAAGTCACATATTTTTGAAATGTTGTGATATATGGCATGTGATTATTTATGTAAAACTTTGAAAGTGGTCTACTTGAAGGTATATCCAGTTGCATTCTGGCAGGAGCAGTTTGGGGGGTTATCTGTACTATGATTATATTCCTTCTTTTAAAGAGTGCACCTTAAAGGGTTTTCCCTTCCCAAAACTCTTACACAGTTAATCATATTTTGGGACTCTACTTCCTACATTTTCACTTTTTTCTGTACAATGTGCCCAGAGATCCACATTCTATTCAGCTTCTTGCCATGTTAGAAAAAACAAGAAGCAAGTTCACACCTGTTAACTAATGATTCGTGCTTGCTTTTGATAAGCCTTTCCAGCTAGGGGGAACCAGCCAATTAGAAGGAATGAAATTATACATGGTATCATTTAGGATGTAAAAATATACTAAAGAGAAAGTCAGTGGTGTTTGGAAACATTAAATCTGATTTATTTCTTCACAAGCCTGTCATAGTGCCTTGTCTTTCTGTGAAACCTTGATTATGTGGACAATACACTTCCTGTTAATTTCCCAAATGAACTTTAACTGTACTTGTTTGATGCAAAATGCTTCACATGTGGGCCTTCCCTATTTAAAGAGTACAAGAGTATAAGTAACACTCTTTCAAACCCAAGGAACCAATATTGCAACAATAGCCTGTAGACTAAAAATATTATAAAGTCCCCAATAAAACTGGCATGTTATTATCTATCACCTAAAAAATTAGTTGTACTTTCCAATAATGTCCTCCTAGTGTCCCATTTTATAAATATAGAAAGTAGGCTAAGTAACAGTTATGAAAGCAAACTAATTTACTTTTCTTTATATGTTACTGACACTTGATATAGAGAATAAAAAATCTAATACTGAGAAATGAAATCTATTCATAGCTCTGCCAATAAATAGCTATATACATAGTCAACAAGAACTCATTTATTCTCAAGTTAATAATGATGGATCTTAATTACCTTTAACTTATCATCTACTCTGTGCCAGGAACTGTTAGGGAATCCTGGATGCTGACCTGAGTTTGCTATGTTATCAGAATTTGACTAGAAATGACCATAGTATTTTGATAACATGTAATTGCATTGGTCTTCTGAATGAAAATCACTTCCCTGTAATACTATATGCCCCCCTTTTTTCTATTACTACATCTTCATCCAGGGGATCCTCAAACAATAATCAATTGCTAATTAAGTATATTTTGACCTCATATTGGATCTGTGTAGGTTGCATAAAACACATTTTTAAAATTTTCTCTGTAATTTTCCAGGTGCCCAAAAGTTATACTTAGGGAGAAATTAAAGGATATATTACTTGAATAAAATAAACATTACTGCAAAAGTAAAATATTTTTATTAATATCTTTAAATTTTATCTCAAAATGAGGTTGTTTTCTATAAGCAAGAACTGTGTTCTTCACCTCCATTGTCAAAAAATGCTCCTAAAATCTATCTCAACTTACTAATTCATTACATGGCATTTTGCCAATGTTTTCTAATGGTGGTCTGGTGGAAAATTCAGCCTTTTTTTGTACTACAGCTAATTTATCAATTCTAAAACAATTTATGTTGCCTGTAAAGGCAGAATTCTGTTATCGAGCAAGTTAGCTCCAGATAGACTAGGGCAAAGCAAAGCATGAGATCTGAAATATGGAAACTTGGGAGTTTTTGTTTTGTTATGCCAGTTAAATTTCAGATACTGAATTTCTAAAATAAAAACTTATATTTCTTTTAGCTTTCAAGTACCTCAGTTATAAGAATCTACTTGGTCATCCAAGTAGAGAAATTCTTTAAATTTGAAATTATCTCAGAGATCGTTCTATATACTCACCTAGGGCCAGGGAGAAGCCAGATCTCATAGGTTCCCAACTTTCTCATTAATGATGTATAGTTTTGTAATTGAAGTCTTTTTTTCCACATCACACACAGAATATGTGTAACATATTAAGATTGTATGGTTTGGGTGTCACAATGGGAAAGGAACTCAACTTTATTTTGTTTGCATTTCTTTCTTCCTACATTGGCAATCACCTCTCCCCTTCTCCGTGAACTTTTCATTAGGTCGCAGAAAAGACAAACCATAGTGAACAATGCAAGTCAAGTGTGGGCTTGTGGAATTGTCTTTAAATCTCCTGAAGGGATTGAAACTGGAGAATTGTTTTCAGTAGGGAATTTGGTTAAACCAGAATGATGGCTGTCTAAAAATTCTTGTTGGTTTTTAATGTAAGCCAAATAATACATTCTATCCTCAGTTGTTTAAGTTATGGGGTCAAAGTGAACATAAATAAATTGGTTCCACCAAATCCATTCTTTTATCAGTCTTTAAGACAAACAGAGGTTTACTAAACATCTATTACATAGACCTACTTTCACTGGGAATTTAATTCCACTACCACTTTATGAGTTACTTATCTACATGGTATTTACATTTTTCAGGTGGAGAATCTGGCACCCAAAGAACATTTTCCCAATACATATGTGATTAGTAAGAACTAGGGATTCAAATCTGGTTTGGTTAGGTTAGGGATTCTAGAAACTAAAGTACTGCCTACTGACCCACTCTGCTTCCCATAAAAATAACTGGATATGAAGTCAAGGCAAATAATTTTTTAAAAATCCTCTGCATAAGCCAAGGTACTTCTTTGCCAAGCTCTGAAATTGTATCATATGCTCTTATTTCAGAGAAAAAAAAACACTAAATATCAGCTCCTACTACAGTAGATTATGTATTAGGGAGGGGTAAGACTAGGGTAAAACCCCATATGAATGAGTGTCAATATGGCATATAAGTTGGTTCCATGGAAAAACCTTTTCCATTTTTGTTTAAGATGTATAAACACTGATGTAGTGCCATTTGCAATTCTTTATACCTTTTCAGAGTTCCTAATCATTTCCAGTTATCTGCTTTCATAACCATTCCATTTTTTCATCCTGAAATATGATGAAAGCACACAAACGACACAGTACAATTGAGGGGCACACAGTGGGTCCTCATCTTCAACACCCCAAAATAATAACAAAGACAAAGGGTACAGAGTCATTGTAACACAACCTTGATGGAGCTTAAACATCTAGTGAAATCTCTTGGAACTAAACTGAAGAAAGTCATTCATTATAGCAAACGTTAGGAGCTTAGAATTTTAATGTTTTGTTTGCCAATAACAATTTGTGATGCATGACTAATATAGATATACTTCAGGAGATAAAGTCTCAGTGTTAAAAACACACACCCTGCTTTCTTTTGTTTTTATCTCTGGATGAGACGTAGTGCAATCCAGAGTGGACCAGAAAGAAGTAATGAAGAAGAATGAAAGGTTTTGGAAAGAAAGCAGGAATGTGTTCAATATCTAATTCTGTATTAAACTCCCGAAGGACATCCCTTATAAATCTTCTCCCATAATTTTCTTTCTCATCCCTCCACCCCTTAATTTTGTTTCTGAGCTCCTAACAATTCTTGGCTCTTTAATACCTGTGAGAGGGGAAATGACTCTTGATGTAACTGAGCAGCCTGGAAAGTTCCGAACCATCAAAAGGAAGGCCAGAGGGCTGGCTCCCTTTCCGCAGCCCCCTCCCCCATCAGTCCTCTGGCTTGAGGAAGTGCTTATTGGAACATTCCGATTTCCCTAAGCAAACGCTTTCCCCTCACATCCCTTTCTCTTTTATTCCTTTTTATTTTCTTTAATTAAGCAAGCAAATTGGCCACGCCAGTGGAATTCAGCTCACACCAGTTCCGTCCCTTTCCATTTTCAGTCTGTTCTGCGCAAATAAAATACACTAGATCTCATCAGGCACCTAGAATTTTAGACATTTGTCTATTTAATCCTGACTCCACTCCATCAAGAAGCCAGCATGTATAAAAACAAAATCTGGCTTTTCGCAACGCCTGCCCCAGGCTTGGGTTCCCAGCAATCGTTACAAGATACAGCCCTAGTCGGAAACTCCCAGCCCTGCTGAGGGAGAAAAACGGGGTTTTCCAAAGACCTGTCCCTCGGGGTTTAAAAGCGGGTCCCCAGGGAACTTCGCTTTCAGTTCTCCAGGAAGTTCGGAGCTGCTAGAACTCAGCCACTTGCTGAACCCAGGCTGCCTGTGAGTAACTCTGCGCAGTCAAGAGCACGGGGAGGGTTCGTTGGGCGTCCTGTTGCTGCGGGAGGGACAAACTGACAAGGGACAGACAGACTGCCCGTGACAGCCACTGATTACCTGTATGACCTGACCGCGGGCTGCCAAGGCCAAGCAGCGCCAAGGTTGCAGCGCTGTGTCTCGGGACAGAAAGCGGGCACCAGGTAGTTTCTCCGCAGCCTGCCAAAGTCAGCCGCCCAGGTACAAGAGGCTGGGAGCCGCGGTCCTCGGGCCCGGGTAGTTCCCGACCAAGGGAGAGGCTGTGCTCAGAGTAGGTCCAAAGTGCAAGGCCGGGCTATTCCCGGACGTGCACAGACACGGGGGCGGGCGGGGGAGGGCGGCAGCGCGTCCCAGAGTCCCCGGGTGCGCCAGGCGCGCGAACTCGTGCGCCTGGGAGAGGAGCGCTTACCATGGAACATGGTCTGCGGGAGGCGGGCATAGTCATGATGACCTCAACTGCAGCAGGAGTAATCTCTCACCACCCATAATCACGCCCAGAACCCTACTCTTCCGTGGACTTGACAGGAGTCGGTGCTGGGCAGGGCAGTCTCTGCAGCTGGTTTCTCTCTCCCACGCGGCGCCTGCCTCTTCATCCATCCCAGGGGCGGCACACATCACGGCCCGGCTCTCCGGTTTGCTTTTTCCATAACTTCCGTAGGATCAGCCGGGAGTACTTTCAGTTTCTACTCTGCGCTTGGTCTGCAGGTTCAATCTTTGGGTTTATCCCCTGGGTTTCTTCACCATGCACCTGGACCAGGACCTGAGTACGGTGCAGATTTTCAGAGTGCCTCAGGAGAAACCAGCTGGTCTTGTGAATCAGTGCGATTCGGGGTAAAAGACTTTCCAGTTGACTTCTCACCCCCTTGGCTCTGAGCGACTGGGAGCTAAAACCACCAGTTGCTAATATGTCCACGGAAGCCACAAATGTGCAAGGCAAAAGCTGGGTTCTTGTAAGGGAACGCCACCAAGGAGGCGTCGCCGCTTCTGCCGCGGATGTGGCAGAGGCTGCCAAGTCATCTTGTAAAAAAAAAGGAAGTGAAGAATGATTAAGAGGTTCACGCCCTATGCCCTTCCAATCTCTAATCAGTTTTTTTCCCCTCTCCATCTTCTGAATGAGCACCTGCTCAGGTGAAACCTTAAGGAAATATAATTTTGTGGGTCCACCTAATCTGGTAGGTAAGTGCTATCTTTGGACAATCCAAACCTCTAAATTAAGTGGAGGACATAGAAATTAACTGTAATAACTATGATTCCCACAAGTGTATTTACCTGACTTGGCTAATAAATCAAATTGCATTGGGAGTATGTGTTACTGAGTTGTTAATTTTTTCCCAGTCCTGAATCACCTGTGTATTTCTTACTTTAGTTTGGTTTCTGATATTCTATAGAAACCCTACTTAGATGAAGGTGGGTAATAGAAACCAGAACCAGATAATAATAGCTACAATTTATGCAGCATTTGCCATATATTCATGAATGGAAAACTTTCTATGAGGTAGAACATTTTTTTACCTGTACTTGACTGATGTGGGTATAGAGATTTCCTTAAGTAATATGACAGAGTTCACTTAGCTAGCAAAATTAGGACAAAATCCTGCTGTATTCTGGCTCCAAAGTCCATGCTTGGAACCCCTGTATTATAAGACCTTGTAAAATAATTCGGCAATCTAGAAATTGATATAAAGAGGGGGATGAGATGTGGAGGGCTGGTAACCCAGTGTGGGGATCTCAGGAAAGGTTCTAGGAATTTGTGACTTCTAAGTTGACTGCTGACCAGGAATGAACTTGGACCGGGTTAAGAGTCTACTAGATTCGGTTATCATGTAACAAAGAAAGAGGGAAAGGGAAAGGAGTCAGAAAGAGAAAGTGAACAACAATAAATTAGAGAGTGAGGCAAAGTCATTCAAGCCTGACATTTGGTTCTTTGATTGCTTTTTCAGTCTTATTTCCCATGTCCATTCCATAGGCAAGTCATGTCCATACCACCTCCAAAATAAACCCTGCCCAGTGACCACAAAAACTAAGGGATCGTCAAGCTTTCCCTCTTCCCCACAACCTCTTCATTCTCCTCAGAGCAGCAGGATGTCTGATCACCCTTCTCACCCTCAGGCTACCTGCTACTGTGTACCAGGTCCTCCAGGCCCTGGGTAATCAGGGTCCTATCCCCAATCCTCACATTTACCTGAACTTCAAGCCACCCTCGCCTTTTCTTAAGCTTACTCCCACTCAGAATGGTCCAGCACATGATTGGCACTCAGTATTGTTGAATGACAATGAGATACAGCAATGACATGAAGACCTTGTGGGGAAGAGAATGTGTGAAGGCAGAAAGGAAACGATAGGAAAGAGGAAGAGAGCAAGTAGATTAGGAAGACAGAATGGAGGGAGGAAAGGTCAAGTGTTCCCATTTTACTGGAACCCAGATGAGGAGATGGGGAAGACAGATGAAGCTGGAGTGACTGTTACTGATAAATTCTGTAGCTATACATGCTCTGGATGGTGTTTACTTATTTAAAACCCCTGACAGCAGTGTGGAGGTATGTAATTGCTCATAGCCTGAATTTTTTTTGTTCTTTCTGTGGTTGAACTTTTCAGGGACAGAGCAAAAGTGTATCCATCAACAATTTTCACAAGAGGAAATCCTCCTTCCTCTTGTTGGCAAACACTCTACAAGCTAGCAAAATAAAGGCATATGCACAAGCTAACTTGAGGGAAAAATGAGGGGAAATTACTTAGAGGTATAGAAGAAGAGATATAACTTCCTCACTGGACTCTGCTTCTACATATGAAGAATCTCTTGAAAATGTTCAGAAAGCATTTGGAATTTTTATAGTTATATGAAAATGAGCACATTCTAACTTCCTCAAGAGTGTTCCATCTACAAGAAAATTAATATCATTTCAAAACAATTCCACTATGAAATCTTAAGTTAACTGTTGCTATTTAGATAACCTAAATATAATTTTTAGTCATAGGGACAAAGAAAATATTTTATGGATTTTAAAAATGTTAATAGTTTATGATTTAAAAAATCAAGTAGTTACTATTATACTTCCTCATAGAATTGATGAATTGTGTAGAAAAGCCAATAGGGAGGCAAAATAATATAAATTTCATAACTTATAATCAATAAGTATTAAACGGGAAGGCAAAATTCTCAGAACAATGAATACAGTATAACAAAAACAATTGAAGTGAAATGGTATGTCAACTTAAACAGAAAATTACTGGAGATTAGCCAATTTTTTTCAAAATATACAATCTTCAATCAAAATAGTCAATTACTGCTAACCTGAAAATATTTTCTTGATAATTATCTTTATTCAGTTTACCTAATTTAAAAGGCCCATTCTTCATAGTCAAATCAGAAGTCTATCTACTATAGTATCTGAGCTATTTTCAGAAATTTCTATGATTTAATTTTTGAAGCAAAATATTAAACTTGTTTCAAACACACACATTCATACACACACACGAAGGCAATAGTACAGGTAAGTAGTTGCACAGGGTCCTGTGCTTTGAAGGGTCCATGGTTGGTTTAATTCTCTTCTGTGACTGTCTTGGAATTCTTAACTATTTTTAGATAAGAATCTCTTATTTTTACTCTGCACTTGAACCTCTCAAATTTTGTAACTGGCTGTGGACTCACACATGTTAAGTTACGAATTACAGATAGTATATATATCTTTAAGGTGATTTCAGTTTGGTAGGGAAAACAGGTAAGTGCATAATTTCTGCAAAAGGAGGAGATGGAGGCGGGGGGAAGGAAAGGAGAGGAAGGGGATGAAAAATAGAATTAAGATGCATTATGTGCATGGACCAACTCCCCACAATGAATATAATCATTATGTGCTGCAAATATGTACTAATAGAAATTTTAAAACCCTGAATAAAAAAACAATTAAAATTAAGAGGGTAATGTGAAATATGAAAGTAAGATAGAGGATGGAGCAGGGAGGTAAAAATAATCAAAGCATATTGTGTGCAGGTATGAATCTGCCAAAATGAAATCTACTCATCTATGTAAACAATATGCACTAATAAAAAAGATATGAAACATATAAAAAATAAAAATATTATGAAAAGGAAGGAATAATATGCTGTTAGCCAGGTATTTAAGGTAATCTAAATCTATTTATAGTAAGGATCCAAAAAAGGGTAAGGTATCTGTCCAATGGAAAAAATGTTTACAAGTAACTGACTTGTAATTCTAAATCAGACCTGCTTGATTGCCAATTTTGAATTTGAAATTTAATTTTGAATTTTATCAAATGACTACTGACCGTCTATTTACTACATAGTTATGGCTTTTATCATTGCATTACTGAATAAACCATACATTTGCTAAATTTAAGTTGATATATTGTGATTTTATAATTATAATCAGGATGTATTTGTTCTTCATATTATGTTCAACTTGTTTGGGTCTAATTTTGTCCAATTTTGCTAGCATTATAAAAGGAATTGGGAATTATATTGTTTTCTAAAATTCTTGTGTTTAAGCATTCAAAGAATTATTTGTTTCTGGAAAACCTGTAAGAGTTCAAGAATAAAACAGTTTTATGAAGTGAAATCCAGCAATAGGAGGATACTCTCAGTTTTGAGCATTACAAGACTGAAAATAAAAAGGTTTGTTCTGAAGGCTAAATCAAAACAACCATATCAGAAGTTCAGAAGCTTTGTTGCAGATATATATGTTAGCAAATCAGTGATGGCCAGTGCCTCAAAAAAGCGGGAAATTATTGAACTTACATACTCAAAGAGAGAACTCATGCTAGGAGGAACCTTAAGACACAAGCACAGGGTAGACAGGGGAAAGGCTGCCCACCAATAAAATGAACAAATTGTGGCACCAAAGTAAGAAAGTTGGAATTCAGAGCCCCAAAAGGCACTGGAGGATAGAATTTCCAAATAGAGTAAGTAATCAGTATTTCAAAAAACCCTAAAGAGGTTGAGTAAGATGAAGATTAGAAACTGTATCCACTATATTCGCAAAGCAGAGACTCTATATGGTCCTCGAAGTGTTGATAGACTGTGGAAGGGGATGTGGGGGTAAAGAAAGAAAGAGGGACAAATTTTTAAGAGGTGTTTAATGAAAAGGAATAGGCTTCTGGTTTGAAAGACAAATTAGAAGTTTTGATTTTGAGAAGAACTTGGGCATATTTATATATTAATTGATAAAATTAAGTTCTGTGGAAGTGGGGAAGGATGGTACAAAGAGGATGAACTGACTTTGTGCCTTTATACTCCTCATTTCTCTTTGTTCCTTAATTTCATTTTTTAAGCTGCAAGTGCAAACAATCAGAATCCCCTACAGCTGGGCATGGTGGCACACACCTGTAATCCCAGCACTCAGGAGGCTGAGACAGGAGGATCACTGCTAGTTCTAGGCCACCCTGGGCTACATAGTGAGTTCAGAGCCAGCCTGAAATACAAAGTGAGACCTTGTTTCAAAGAAGAAAAACAAATCTTCTATATATCTAGTGCATAATTTTATGCTCCTTATTGAAGTATTCCCAATGACACTTACGTGTGTAATGCTGGATTAAATACTGGCTTGTCTAAAAGAGAAATGTAGCATTTCCTAGGATGCCTTTCAGAGGAAGCAGTTGTATCTTATATTTAGTTTGCATTATCAGAACTTTTATATGCTAATGTGCTAATGGATATGTT